TAAAAATGGAAATAGAATGAAGATCATGACTAAAAATAACTATTCAATGGTAGTAGATGCTATTTTTATCACAGTATTGAACTACAGACTTTATGATTGTGACCTGGGAGTACTACCACTGTGCTATTGATCCACAGGTCTTAAAGATCCAAGTTTTTATTCAAAGGAGTTTATAAACATATAAAGGAAGGTAGGAGAAATATATGAAAACAAGTTTCAAGTTGTTTTAATGAAAGTATAAGAACTTTATTAGTAAATAAGTATAAAACTTCTTGCGAATATCTTTTTTATATATAGCTAAAGAATTAGTAGAAAGAGTTTTTTATATTATATATTAACAATTTTTTTTTTTTGAAATAGAAGCTCAGTCATGTTTATTGACTTTGATAATGTAATATACAAATTAATATAGAGATTACAAAGGTTATCACGTGAAGCCATATATCATTTATGTCACCAAACTCTCTAAAACCTGACCTTTAACAGATTTACTGAATGGCTTGTTGCCCAGAGATATCTGGTTAAATTAAATTTCTACTACTATTACTATCTAAAAAAAAACTAGATATCCTTTATTGAATTTTCAATCCTTCTGAAGTCCTTCCAACTAACATGCTATAGTGGACTTGCTAGTTTCAAGAAAGGAGAAGTATATCTTTCTTTTGATTCTGATGATTATGGCCTATCACCAATACTGAGTGTATTCAGAGAAAGAGTATGAGTTTGATAGTATTTTGTGTTGTATGAAAGTGAAAAAACCATTTGGATCAAAATAAAAAAACCTTGAAGTGATTTTAAAATGGAAGAATTGTTGTATCTTTAAGAGTAATATGAGTTCTCGAGGTTCTATTCCAATAGGAGAGATACTTATTCTATAGCCATGACCCTTTTGGAGAATAATGAGAAAAAGGAGATTACAGTTCATATGATGTTTATCTATCTGTATTTCTAGCAAATGACTTATAATAAATCTAAGGACTTAGAAAATGTATTTATATTATATATCATATATATTCTTGTTTATATTTCTGTTAACTATAGAGCAACCAATTCCAATCTTCAGCCAATCAATCTATCCAAAATCTGATATAACAGAAAATTCAGGGTCAAGCTAAGATAGGCAAAATCATTCAGAAAAACCAAGAAAAAACTGCTACATACTGAGAGAGAAACTGTTTTTGCACTTCTTTCTAGACTTTAAGACTTCTATAGAAAAGAGAAGAAGAGTATTTTTTTGTTTGGTTTCTTCTTTCTAGAAAAGCTTTCTTGCTATTAACTTCTTAGATATAGGGTTTTTGAAAAGGAAAAGTAAACAAGAAGAATAAAATATGACTGCTGCTAAGTGAAGCAGGTGTTTTTAAAGAAAGTTTTGAAGTTTTATTACTCTCAAAACATAAAGTTTTGAAGGAATGTTTCTTTGGAAGTGGTGGTTAGGGATCTATGGAAAAGAATTTATCTTTAATATGATATATTAACTATTTATTGTATATACATACAATATATTACTTTTTTTTTTGAGTACCCATAACCAGGCTAGATTGTTAGTTTATTAATCAATTGAAAACATAAGTATATTTTTATTTGAGCAGCATAATATATACAATAACTAAACTATTATTCTAATTTAACCAACTTATTATAAGTATAAAAACCTTTAAGTTTGACCTTGGAACAATATTTCACTTTGTAATATCTTTGAATAAAACCTCCTAGTCCACTGTATTATTGCCAATAGGTTTTTATTACTATATATTGTATCAAACCACTGGAATACAGGAAACTACAAAAGGATAAGTTAAAAAAAAGAAAAAGAAATATTTAAAAATGTCCAAGCAAACAACAAAAAAATGAAAAAGTAATAATTAAAAAAAAATATTTCCAGTTTTCTCTAAAGACCTGCTTCTTAAAACCTCTTTTCAATAAGAAATATCTAATTGAGATATTCTTTCTTTTTCTGACCGTCTGAGGAACTTATCACTTCTTGATCTTAATTTCCTTCTTATATATTGTTTAAGGAGACTTATTACCTAGTGGAAACCTTTACTTCCAAAATATACTTGATCCCAATTTTCTTTGAACAGTGATTTTTATTCATCTATGGTAGGGATGCAACTTATAATGGATTCTAGATTCTTATATAACCTAGTTAGAACTGGATTATGTTGTTTCAATATAATATCTTTTAGCAGCTACATCTAGTTGAAGGAATTTTATTAATATACATCTTCCATTATTCAAAAAGTCAAATTTTCCAATGATCCTTTTACCTTATAATAGTGGGAGGATTTTGAAAGTAATAGGAATTCTGTCGATTGTAATATCCTTTAACAACTTTTGGGAAAATATATTTTCAACTATATCAAAAGGTTGAAGCTTAGCATGAACTAGAGACCATTTGATATTATTGCCTAATTGGAATAAAAAGAAGACCTTGGTCTTGAATTTTGCCTGACTGGAATGATAGAAGAGAAAGACCTCAGTTTAAAAAAATAGTAGCTTTTTTATCACTTGGAAACTTGTTGTTTATATCTTATTTGTCTTATGGAATATGATCTATAAGTTAACTCAATTGGAGAAGTAAAGCAAACACAGGACATCAATCAACTTTTTCGATTATCAATTATATCATTGGAACATATGAGGTGACCAGTATAAACTTATTTATATTTAGCTACTAATATATTTATGTTCATCAATCATATTTTGCAATAGATTATGTTACCTAAAATTCAGGATCAAACTGAAGTAGATAAAATTCCTTAGAAAATCAAAAAAATTTTGGATAACTATAAGAGGGAAGAAACAATGGGTAGATACATTGAAATATGGTATGATGTTTGTTACCTCCCACTACAGATAATTTCTATAGACATGCTTTAATATAAAAGACTTTAAGTATTAACTATTAATTCTTCTTCCTACAGAACTTTCTTATTATAGATAGAGATAATGTTTCTTGACTTTTTTAGATCACAGAAAGTCAAGTTTTTGTTTGAAGACAAATATAAACAAGAAAAGGATTTAGAAGTATTTCTTGAAGTAAAACTTTGAGTTAGTTTAGGAATAGTGTTAAGACTTTATTAGCAAAGAAATAAAAAATTTCTTGCGAACATTTTTTTTATATGTAGGTAAAGAATCAATAGAAAGAGTTGATTTTTTTTTAATTTTTATCTTTTCATTTTCTTGTTGTTTATTTATATATTTTTAGATATCTTCTTCCACTTTTTTTCAACATATCCTTTTGTAGTTTCTTGTATTCCAGAGGTTTAATCAGATATACAGTAGTAACAACCTGCTGGCAATGATGTAGTGGACTAGAAGAGTTTTCACCCAAAGATATTGCAGAGCGAAATATTGTTCCCAAAGTCAAATTTAGAGACTTTTATGCTTATGACAAGTTAGTTAGATTAGAATAATAGTTTAGCTGTAGTATGTATCATGCTGCTCGAATGAAAATATACTTATGTTTTCAATTGATTAATAAATTGACAATCTAATCTGACTACAGGTACTCAAAAAAAAAAAATTCTACTTGATTTTTAAAGATTTTCTAGAGGCTGTCATTAATTTTTTATAGATTTATTCTTAAGTATTAAGCTCTAAGTTTGTATCTTAAAATTTTTATTAAAAATATAAATATATATCTATCAATTTTTTTTTATAACCTAATTAATTTAATTAATTTTTTTTATTTCATATTTCAATTTAATTCTTATTTTTCTTGATCTTATAACATAATTGTGAATTAAGCTTTAAAAACAAAACCAGTAAATTGATTTTGATGTTTTGCAAATTTTTCAAATTGTTAGCAAAAAATAAAATTTTAACAAGCTAATTATAAAAAATAAGAATAAAACAATTTTATTTAATCACTGTTCAACCGTGCACGTTAAACTTAAAGATTCACTTATGAGATCATACAAGGAAAGATATATTTCTCTAAAGTTTTATATTTTCTATTTTCAAAAAACTACAAAAAGCACTAACAGTATATCATCATTCCTCTATTTAAAATCAAATTTTGATCAATTTCAAAGAATACTACATCACGAAATATTTGATCTTATTCTCCCATTAGATATAATTGGTAAGCAAATGCAAATATAACAACCATAATTGTTAAAATGATCAAGAATAATGTCTGCTTCTCGATGATCCCTAAATTACAAAAAATGACCAAATTAAAATTCATCCAAGTGAAAATTAGATTGACGCAAATAATGAAAATCTACCGGTGCTGAATTTTTCCGGAAGTTGTATAAAGTGGACCGAGTTATCTACAGATCCACTCACGATCAAAGTAGAATCATGGTTAAAACTTAGGGTTGTAGGCGGAAAATCGTGTGCTTTTGGTATAGTAAGAAGAACCTTATAGAATAAAGCATCCAAATATTTATTAGAAATAGAGTCCAAGTGAAATATATGAGTTTGAGTTAATTACGAACCCTTAAAGTTCGAGTATCGCATACACCCAAACTTTGATCAGAGGCACCGAATGCAAGTAGATTTCCATCGTCGCTGTTAACGAATAATGGTAAGCTTAAAATGTGTCAATTAAAAAATCGCAAGGGTAAGTTTTCTATACCTCATTTCGAACGTGGTGATTGGTTTTCTCGAGACGATCTTCGTCATACTTCTTTCCCATGTGGTGACATTCCATTTTGCTATAAACGCCTTAGTTTTGGAAGACGAATTGACTACGGCAAAAAGAAAACCATCCGACGTTCCTCTTCCGAATCTGGTTAAAGAGAAAAAAGAAAAAAGAAAAAAAAAAAAGAAAAAGAAACCTTGTTGGAAAGTTAACATTAAAAGAGTTTTTAAAGTATCATTTGTAAATGATATCGAACCGGCATGCCCTGAATCGACATTCGGTGGTTTTCTGAGAAATTGGTCGTTCTAATGAAAAAATGCATTTACCATCCTTTGTTGACAATATTTGTAGCACTTTAGGAGATGCGACCGCAATTTGATCTCCTGTTGGATTGAAGTCAAGGTCATATACTTCTTGTCGATCAAAATTCACTGGTGGAAATGCGGCTTCCAGTAACGGATATTTCAAAATCGTCAACTGTTAACAATAAATAATTATAAGCGGAGAATTGTAAGGGATGATTGATTTTGGTTTGTTACCAAACATTTACCTTGCTGTCAGTCCCTCCGGTTGCTAGAAGTTTATTATCACGGCTAAAGGCGATAACTTTTTGATAATCTTCAGTGCTCGTACTTGTGATGGTCTGAACCATGTTTGTCAATTCGATTCTAGTGGCAATATTAACGAAGCATAGTTAAATTATCACTTCATTCGTAGGATCAACGAACTTCGTCAACATACTTGTCATTCGAATATCTAAATATTCGGCAATTTCTATTTTTACCGGCTTCTATATCTTCAGCTGAACTGTTAATGCCACAAGCAACAATGTTATCCTAAAACGATGATTAATGGAATAAATTATGTTTTTAACTTCGAACTTTACGGTAAAAGTCACGAAAGGGAAATCCCTGAGAACGCACTTCATTGTGAAAGGTCATGCACGTTGGTGCGTCTTCATTTTTGTTAAGTTCTATTTCCACGATTCTCTCAAAAGTGTCCTTTGCAATGTCAAGTTTATACAAAGCCTTTAAGGATTAAAAGTAATAAATTATGCAGTGGATCAGAAAGAAAGAAAAAAAAAAAGTCAATCAAGACAAAACCTTAGATATACCAGTTTATTCTTTACGCCGGAATTTTGAGAGCCCCCACCGCCTCCTAAGAGAACATCGCCAGCAGGATTGAAACCTGGTAAAAACAGAAGGTACTCAATAATAGTTGGAATGACCCTATTTTTTAAAAGAGGGTAAATAATTGAAAAAAAGATATACCGGCACAATAGACAGGAAAGTCGACCTTGACCGGAAAATGCTTTAACTCTCGCATCCTCAGGGAAATACGCGTTGATGCATAATTTAGCGTTATGCGTATATATTGGTTGAATTTCGTAATCTTAAACGTAGAAAACTTCAATTGGTCAGCGCATATTGCATATGCGCCTGATACATTATTTCTATAGGTTGGCAATGGCTTAGTAGAATACGGCACATAACGTAGAAACGCGTCTGTTCGTGCTTCGCAATGCTGACACGCTCTTCGGCATCAAAAAAATCCGACAGCGAAACTGAAAGTATAAATTCCTCCACGACTTGTCCGGACCCCGAAATTGCAACGCCTGTCAGAAAGCGCTCACGACAAGGAAATGATTCCGCAGCTTTGGAAAGCACGTTATCGATGCCCCAGGCAACAACAACGACCACCCCTCCGAACACTGCCAACACTCGAAAGATTCCAAAATTGAAGATAGTAAAAACTGCTAGTCCAGCGGATACCAGCTTTCGTAATTTTCGCCTCCGTCGAATTGTTAAAGAAAATCATGGTCATGACATCAACCAACTGGCTTTCTTTTTTAATTTGAGTAATTATGAGGCACCTGTAGGAACTCAATATAAAAAGAACTTCAATAAACTTGGTCACGTTGAAAGGAATGTTCGAGACACAAGCAATATATTAGCTAGCGTAGGCGATATTCAGGTATAGATAAGTTTGTTATTCGTTTGTCCGTCTTTGCAATATACTGTATTCTGAATGGAGATGCTTGTCTTCTCTCACGATTAGGCAAATATTTATGATAATGAGCACTGCGGAGATCACTTGGATATTATGTCTAATTTCGCACTGGGTGAAAAAGCCGACCTGGCAACAAGCGTATGCTTTGTTCGCATTGTAAAAATTTTTGTAAATGTGATCATTAAATCGACGCGTTTTACGTATAGGAATTATTAACTTGTTGCTGGTTGCATCGTGATGATGACGCATTGCTAGCAATAGCGGGCAATACCCATGCTATATATGTCGTCAGTCTCACCCTTTCCACCACCTTACGAACAATGCAAGGGCACAACGGCATGTTGGTTATTACACGCATATCTATCTGTAACTTATGACGACGATTAATAATAAGACAACATGCATGAAACTTTAGGCATCATCACCGACATTCAAAAACACCCAAAGGATGACATTCATTTATTATCGGCATCTCAAGATGCGAGCGTGAGGTTGTGGAATGTCGACAACGGCACGTGTTTATACGCGTTTGAAGTCAAAGCTTCCGTGGTGGTTAGTTCAAAATTTGAGTATACGCTGGACCCTTTTTCTGTTTTTAAACATTTGGTATTGTATGTTTAGTGTTGGGATCCGTCTGGTCAAACATTCTTGACGGGATGTTACAATGGTGAAATGCGTGTTTGGAAAACCCCAAATTTAACGGACTATCCCGCACAACCTCCTTTATATTTTTTTCAAAAGGAACTTGAAACACGTCATAAGAAAATTCATACGAGTCAAATAGGTTTGTTTTTCTTTAAATTGGTAATTTGTATAAGGTTCTTCTTCCTTTCCTTACTCACCCGACTGCATCAAAGATTGTATTCGATTTGCAAACAAACACGTGCTCTCCAAATCAATAAATGGTAAGATTGAATATTGGAATTATGAAAATTTTGATGTATTAAGATCTTTTACCATTAAGAATGGATCTAGTAATCGATCAAGATTTGATGTAAGGTATATACAAAAATATGATGAGCCCGTGAAAAGTTGTTTCATTTTGATGGCAAACTCTCAAGTCATACTTCTTTTTAGTCTGGATGAAAAATTTTTTTGTGTCGGCACAAGCATTGGTAGTATAAACATATATAATGTCATGAATGGCAAGTTGGTGACCGAACTTCGTCATAGAAGGTCGACAAAAGCTGTGAGATGTTGTGTGTTCTCTCGGGATTGCAAGTAAGTTGTCAACGGTGTCTTGGTCATTTGAACATCCTTGTCCAATTATAAGAATTCCGAATTCATTTGTGTAAAATGCAGGCAAGTCATTGCAGCTGGTGAAGACGGTTACATCTGGAGATATGATTATATTGATGACGCCACATTATCAGAATGGGCAAAATGGAGGCCAAACTAAAGTTTAATAAATCTTGGGCAATTCTTTGATCATAGAATCGTCTCGTTCTTAATTCAGAAAAAGATTCTTTAATGATATGATAATTGATATCCCCTCCAAGAAAAATGTTCGTGTTGAATCTGAAAATGCGAGAACCAAATTATGGTGGAATCGAGATTTAATAACTTTTAAAAAAGTTTATTAACTGATTGATATCTCGATGCTGCAGATTTAGAATTTTGGATTCTAATTTCCGCTTCCCACATCTCACCGGCTGACCACTGCGTTCACTCTCAAACCGATATTTTCACAATTATAACTTCATTGTTAACTTTGAGCGTATTTATCCTTAATGTCTTTCCACTGTTTCTGTTTAAAAGTAAAGTATTACTCGGTTAATCGCAGTGATTCCCAATTATGCACAGGGAAATAGAGACTACATACACCTCGATTCAACTCATCCCAGACCTTATTGGCAGTGGAGTCGAAGGCGAGCTCGAAGACCAGAGCTGTTGTGAAGATCCCGGTCAAAAAAACAGAGTTACGTCGGAATAATGTTCGGTATAACATTCGAGTCGAACTGTCATTACACACGAAGCATGAAATAATGAGAATCTTAGAAATATTGAGGGTACAAGAAAAGGAAATAATGTGACCACAATTAACCTATTAGCACCGGAAGCTCTTGCGGTGGTTGTTGGCATTGTGCGAATATATAATTTTGATGAGATTTTGCGTAGAACATTTACGGTTGGCAATGATCCGGAATTCAGTCACGTGCTCATCTGTCAGGTTAGTTACACATGTATCATATTTCGTTTAGTTTATTACACAAACAAATTCTTAAGGCATTGGTCTCTATTAGGGCGGCCGCATATATGCGTTGGCCAATCAAAAATATGCGTGCGGTAATTTATTATATATGCCGAAATACTGTATACCCTTTATGGCTTTAAAATATGCCCGAAAAAATGCAAAAAAAAATGTAAAAAAATGCAAAAAAAGTTTAAAAAAATGCGAAAAAAAGAGAAAATTTTATCATATTTATTAAAATATAAAAAATTTAAAATGGAAATTGATTCCTCCGATAATGAACAACATTTATCACTAAGAATATTTCTATAAGATGAAAAACTTCTTTCTATATCAATCCCCAATATTGGAAGTCAAATATACATTAATGCTATTTTAGACAAATTTGGAAGATGATTTTTTTTATCATTCTAGTATTTATCCAAATCTAATTCATTATCTTCTTCAAAATCTTCATTTAATTCATAATAAATTCCTTATACAAATAAAATAATGCTACTAGGATTTTTAAATTCTTTGATTTTACTATATCTTTGAATATTATATCTTGCTTGACTAACTAGTATAAATTGAGGATTAAAACATTGAATAACTTTAAATAATGATAATATAGAATGATAGTCAATATGTTTTTTAAATTTATCTAATGCTGATTGAAAAACTTTGCGAAATATTTCTTGAAATAATGATGAATTCATATTTAAAGAATTAAATTTGATATTCATTTCATTACTAATTGGAGGTTGAATTATACCTAATTGTAAATAAGATTTAAATAAATGTAATTTTATAATACAAGATGTACTATAGGTTTGTTACAAATTTTAAAAAATTCTAAACTATTATAAAGACTATAATAATAAAAAAAATAATTATTAGTTAATTAATTAATTAATTAATTAAAATTATAATATAAATAACTTATCTTTTTGTACTAAATGCAATAAACATTATTAAAATTTTAAACATAAAAGTATTTATTAAATTATTAAACATTGATATTAATTCTTTAATTGTTTTGCTTTCATTATTTGTATTTTCTTCTTGAAGAAAAAAACTTTCAAATAATGTAAATGTTTTTTTACCCAAAAAACAAAATTAAATCAAGAATTTCATCTAGTTTTCATAGATAAAGGAGGTAAAGTTGAATTATCAAAAAAGAAAAATGAATTTAAAAAAGAAATTCATCTTCTTTTGCAAGAATTATTTTAAATAAAAGATGTTTTAATATTTTGAATAGCAATTTCTAATGGTTTAAAATTATTAAATTCTATTTAAGTATTACCCACCAAATTTAAAATATGTGCAAAATAACAATTATGTTTTATTTGAGAAATTAAAGGAGATAAAACAATAAAAGTTTTTAACATATATAAAGCATTATTTGAAATAAATAAAATAATATTTTCAAAAGAAATATCATAAAAATAAATAATATGCATAACTAATTATGCAATAAATGAATTATCTACAATTGTCAAATATTCAGTTCTAACAAGTTTTGTAAAATTTTTAAAACTAAACAAAATGTTTACAGTTGCATGTCTATAACTATTAGTTGATTTATCAATAGTAATTGAAATTGCTTATTTTATCAAAACAGGTTTTAAATTTTTTAATTCTATATTATGTACAATTGATAAATATTTTTCTCTAAGTTACAAAGATCTAACAATAGTACCTCCTATTTATATTAAAAATAAATTAGAAAAATATATATAATATAATATAATATAATATAACTTATCATTTTTACAATATTAAGACAAAAATGATTTAAGCTTATCAATTTTCTCTAATAGTATATTTGCTTAAGTGAATACTCAAACCAGATTTACATTTATTATTTTGTGATCACTTGCTAAATCAATTAAACCTGTAAGTGTAAGCTGGCATATTCTTTGTATAATTTTTTTTTTATTATTTTTATGTTTTTCAGTTTTCAAATGTTAGTCAACTAAAATTTTTTTTCATGATTTACTACACAGTTGCAAAAAACACAAAATAGTTTTTTGCCTTCTATGTAAAAATTTTCTTGATAAAGGTCACATTCTTATTGATATTATTTAGCGATAATCAATTTTTTTTTTTAATAAATAATCAGAAAAATTGTGCTAACTACACAAATTATATAATATGTTATAATTGATATACTAGATATATATCTGATATACTGGATAAACATAAGATGACAAATATACAGTCACATATAATATACAAAAAAAGGGTCATATATGAATAATGCTTATTTCTAACCATTCTAGTCTCTATATACTATACATAGAATATACAAATTTGATTTTCACATAGAATGCAGCACTTTTAAAAATGTTAAATATTTTTATCTTTTATTTATTAGATTATTTTTCAGTTTATAAATCTTGTTATAAAAAGTAATTCATTAGTTACAGTTTATCAGAGTTAAAGTTTTTAGTAAAATATATTCTTGAAAAGGTTATTATAGCAAGAGAAAATTGTTTTAAAATATATAGATAACTTATTATTTATCTATCTTATCTTATTTTTGAAACTATTTTAAGATTTTACTATATATTCATTAGTTTTAAGATAAATTTACTTAATATTTCATAATCTTAATAATAGAATAATATTGTAATATCTCTATAAACTTTTTTATTTTTTTATAATAATTATATTATCAATCTCAAATTTATTTATTTATTTTTTTTTATACCCTTAGCTAGGCTAGATATATGTGCTTTATTAAATATTTATATATTTTATATTTAAAATGTTTCACTAAAGCTAAATCTTTACTTAACTCACTTATTTCTATTTTATGAATTTTCTAAAATTCTAAGTGTAATTTTGAAAATAATTTATTGCTCCATTAGTAATACAAGTAAAAACCTTTCTAACTACTAACTTCATAACCTACAGGTTACTACTACAAAACACTTTGTGAGATTCTGACTAGGTTTAAAATCTTATTCACTTCATTTCATATTCTACTCTTCTTGTCATAATCTTTTTGAGATTTCTATATTTTAAGTATTCTGTTTTTATTAATAGTTCCTTTTTTATTAAAAGTATAATTTTCTGACTTAGGGAATGCTAAGGTTTCTTGATCTTGTCTTTTCTACAGATTTCTTATGTTTGTTTCCACTCAATTATTTTCTCACATCTTGTATTTCAAATTCTTTTTCAAATTTGATTACAGACTCTTTTTGTATTTTTAATATCTATCTTCTTGCTTCTTTTACTATCTATTTTCCATGTCATTTTAGATCTGACATTTGTTAAATAAAATCACTTTTTATAAGGCTAGCACAGAAGCTTGAGATACCTTGACTAGTTTTTGAAGTTTGTTTTACTAGTTCGGAATTTCATTTGTCTAGCTCTCTAATTCTTCTTGATTATTTATAATTGGTCTGAAGTTTTTCTCTTTAGCTTTCTTTATTTTTTTTTACAAAAGTCCTTTAAAATCTTTAAAAGTTCTATCTATTTTCTTCTTTCATATCTCTTATACTTTATTCTTATAGACTAGATATTTTAGCAAGTATTTTATTGTTTCATCTTGATAACTATATATGATATATTTAACTTGCTTATATAGATTAGGTCTTTCAATAGCCAGTTTGCTTAAAGTTGGTAATTCATTATTGATCAATTTGATAAGAAAGCTTCTTTATTAAGATTATTTGAAAGATGTGTCCATCTTTTATTTTTTTTCATATTAGATTCTATATATGGTCTTATTGATCTGAAATTTGATGACACCACTTTTTCTCTATTCTATTTTGTTGTATTCACTGATAGGCTATTATTTTGTTATTAATATTCTTAATAAACTGTTTTAGTGAATTATTTACAGTTATATCCTACCACTTAACTTCTATGAAAATCTTATAAGAGATAAGGTTTTTCCATTTGATTGATGAAAGTTTTAAGACTTCTTTGACTAAAGCATTTGCTTCTTCATTATGTTCTTATATTAAAAAGGGATTGATCTTTTACATTTATTAAAAAAGATATGAATTATTCTCCAATCTCTGAGTATTATTGTAATAGTATTTATAAGTTGATTCAAGAATATAATTTTATATTTTCATAAAGATGGAATAGCTTTTTTATATTTTTTGTTATTTTATAAAACAGATTTAATAGATAGTATGCCTCTCTGATAACTAAATATATCCTTTCATCTTCAACTTTTAAATATAATTTATAGTTTTTTGGCAAGAGTCAATATTACTGCTATAAAGTTTTCCTTAATCAAACTATCTGATTCTATAAGGTTCTCCAAAATGTTACCTGGTTTTCAAATTTTAATCTGGCTTTGTTTCAGATAAATTATAGTAGCAATTTCAAAAGCATTATTGTTATTAAGTTAATAAAATAAAGATAATATATAGCTTTTCAGTTATATTTTTTAAATACTTTTAAGTTCATATATTTCTTTATTATGAATACAATTGTTTGATATTGTTCTACAGATTAGGACTTTGTTCTTGAATATATTTTTGTATATGAACATACAATCATTGCATATCTTTTCACTAAGATATATATGCTATATTCTATATTCTATCCTTGAAATTAAGACTCTATTGATAACATATCATATATACTTTTCTGTTAACCTTTTCTTGTTTATTGTCTGTATTACTATTCTAATTTCGAATTTTATTAAATTAATAGTATTTCTATTATCCTGTTTTAGTCTTAGCCAGATACCTAGAAATTTTTTCTAATCTTCCTTACTGATTTTATAAACTATTAGTGCACTCTATTTCAGGTTGAATAGTTCCAGAGTCTTGAAGATTTCAGTTAATAATAAAAAAAATAGATTTTTTAACATTAATTTGAGAATTGTTAGCT